CTCACAGATCCAACAGGTCGTCATCATCATCCCAGCCGCCGCGACGGTTGATCACAATCTTGTGCTCCTCCTCATCCTTGCGCTGGTTCTCGGCCATAGCGTTCAGCAGCTGCTTGAGCTGCTCCTCGGTAACCTTCTGGCGCAATTGGCCGGACTGGGCGAGCATGATGAGACGGGACTCGACGTCAGCAGCGCGGGATTCCTTGACAAGGCGAATGCGACCCAAACGATCGGCGGCTTCGGGCTCGAGGATCTGGTTCAGGATAGTGGTGCGGCGGTCGGCTATTCGTAGAGGAATAAGCAAATTATTCGAGAGAGTAATGTAGGCAGAGAGATTCCTCCAGCAGGTCCTATTCTAGTAGGATATGATTTGCGCATACCTTCAGCTTGCCTAGAGTGGAGCGACAAGTCAGTAAAGATTTACAAATGAAGAAGCAAAAACGAGGACTGGGAATCATACCTTCTCTGTTCCTCCTGGTTGCCGTCCGAAGGGCCACCACGTGCGCCACCCTGCTGCTGAAGCTGGGCAAGACGGGCCCGTCTGATCTATACCAGATTTAAGCATTTGATACGAAAGAGTGTTGAAGGCGTGGACACCCATGAAGACGGGGAAAGTTAGATGTAGGTGGAAAGAATTCATACTGACCTCTTCAAGCTCTGCGTCGGCCATGATTTTTAATGTGCTGGGTATGCAAGATCCGAAGACCAGGAGGATTCTAAGAGTGATGCGGGGTAAAAAGTGACGGGATGAAACTCGGACAGAATGAATTGCAGGCCGATGCCGAAGCGGGGAGATTATCCCAGGATTAGACTCTGGATGATTCGACGCATTCCATCTTTGGAGAACTTTCCAACCCCACCTTGCTTGGATGCCTGTGAGCCTCAGGCACTCAGGCACATGGAGTGGGGCGCCATGAGGCCGTCGGGCATCCTGGCCCGATCCGGCAATCAATAGTCCGCAGAACCAGTACTAGACTAGTTTGGAACTGGGGTGGCTGGGCACTTGGGCCAATTCATTACAGATTACACACACACACATACAGCAGAGCACAATTGCATGCATAATATGTTCAGACACAATTGTTATCCTTCACTCTACAAAGAAAAAATATAGGCAGATGACTTGTTGAGAGTCAAAACTGCAGACCGAGGCTGCAATGCCAACAAACCCCGGATATAAACTTCCAGGAGAAAGTAAGTTGAGTGTCGTTGTGTCGGAGAGTGGAAGATCGCAGTGACTGCAAGTGTCGTCATCAGGTGTGCCAAGGAAGAGCTGCCTTTTTGAGCCAAAAGAAACCATCCACCGCCGAAGATCCGGGCTGATTTGGGGAGAAAGATTGGCTGATTATCCCCAAATTAGAACGCCCTAATGTCGCACCCAACCGCATCGGATGGATCTTTGCGCCCAAACTATTGAAAAGCGTGTGAAGAATTTTTGCAGGTCGAGAGAAAGCTTATGAATTGGAACGAGCTCTCTTAAATTTCCCAAGAGGCTCTAGTCACCGTCTCCGGAGGCCCTTGCGAGATCGGGTCCGTATCGAGATCGTACCTAGTGGGAACCATTAAGCCGGATGAGAACGTGGCGCGAGTGATGGGAAAAAATGATTCCACCATCCATACAGAGTATCATATCATACGTAATCTAGCAATGGCGTGTTACACTCGGACAGTCAATCAGTCAGACTTGATTGTAGTACGTAGTAGTTGTTAGTTTCTTCTTCCCCGCCTTTTTCCCTTCATCCACACCGAGGAATGAACCAAAGGATGGAATGGCAGCCAGCCCCAAGCTTCACGCCGGCCCTTGTGATTGTCCACCACCGGAGACGCGCCGGGGGGCGATCGACCTTCCAGATACGGTAATCTCTAAGCGCCTGTGGTTTGCCTCCGTGTTGATGATTGGCTCACTGCCGAGTGGAGCCGGTATCGGAACCGTAAATACAGCAAGCAGGGCGGCGATACCGAGTCAGACGTACAGTGGAAATGAAATGATACTCTGTTACTGTTACTGACTGCCTGTTGCGACCTGAATCCACTTGCCGTACCAACTCCGGCCTTGCCTGCAGTCGTGCTGTGCTCTTCTTGTTCTTGTTCTTGTCTCTGCTGCTACTCTCTCTGGTCGTCCTTGACCTCTTCTTAATTCTCCCCATTTGTTCTTCCTCCCCGGTCGCTGACCACTTTTTTCTATCTATAATTCTTTTTTAAACTAATTTAATTAGCTTACACTAATCTTCCCACTAAATCCCATCATCTGCCTTGACGAAAGAGGGGTTACGTCCACTGATTACCCGCTAAGACATCTCTCTCCCTTCCTTTATCTCCCTCAACCCGGCTCTCGCCTCCAGTTAATCGTCATCCTTCCGGTCTATCCTTCCCTACTTATCGTCGCCTCTCCTTCATACCCCTCTTTCAGCGGCTTTCGCTCTCTATCGATTTGCATCTCGCTCCTTTTTGCGACTCAATGCTTCGTTCTCCGACTGGCTGATTCCTCTCCAGTCTGCGCGCTGGCGGGGACGTCACGTTACTGCTTCCCCCCCCCCTGCTTTAATCCTTCCATGCATACATCCTCAACCAGCCCTTGTCTCTGCCAGAATTTGCAGATGCGAAGTGTCGCCGGTCCGTTTTATACGTGGTTGTGATACGCGCCTCCTTCTGCTGTGATACCCTGTTCTGCTGCATTTGCCGTGTCGATATCTCACGATCATCATGGCCGAGTATGTATAATCACGTCCCTCCAATGCAGTTGGCCTATGCTGTGTTTGTTTGCTAATTTCGGTGACAGTTTTATTGCTTTCCACACTTATTACTCTCGCCACAATTTCCTATCCCCGTCTACCATGCTGCCACGTCCCACCAGCCACAAACGGTCGAATTCCTCCGAGAATAACTCTCTCTCCCCCGACAAGACCGTCACGAAAGCCAGATCCACCAATGACCTGTCTGGAACCGTCACTGCGAAGCCGACACCGGGCGTCCGCTCGTCCAGTGTTGGCAACTTCCAGGAAACTAGCTTTAGCACCTTGAAAGATCCCAGACTTGCGAGCCACTCGGAAGACTCGGAGACGTCAGAGTCAACACAGTCGCATCATCCCGACTTGAGCAATGAAGTCGCAGCTTTGAGCGTCAAGTTGGTCCAGGCGATTAACAATCAGACGACACTCGATGACAACCTAGTCGCCACTCGTCAGGAATTGGAGCAGGCACAAGCCAAGATCCGAGCCCTGGAGTTGGAAAATGAAAAGTATCGGCAAGACATTGATCAGGAAGTTTTGATCAAGAAGTCCGACGTGGATTATGAGATGTTGCGCTTGCAAGCTGCATTGGCTGAAGAGAAGGCTCAGCGCGCCCTTGTGGAAAAGGAGAAGAAGGGCATTGAACAAGAATTAGAAACATTAACTGCCGCGCTTTTTGAAGAAGCCAACAAGGTAAGCTCCATATGCGATTGTATGTCGGGTCGACCAACTGACTTGTTACCTTTTGAACAGATGGTCGCCGCGGCCAAGCTTGAGCGTGAGGCTGTAGAGAAGAAAAACGAGCAGCTACGCTCTCAAGTCAAAGACACCGAAGCACTGCTTGCATCACATCAAGAACAATTGGCCGAGCTAAAATCTGTTTTGCATGGACTCAACCTCGCCAAGGATGATAGCGAGACTCGCACAATCATCTCGACAGCTCCGTCATCACCAACTATGCCGCGGCATCCTTTGCATGTCAGCAAGAATTCTGAGATTCCCGACATACCAGAGGAAATCCCCACATTGGAAGAGCTCACTCCAGGGCCGTCCACTAGTTTCCCACATCTGATTAAGCCGGTCTGTCGAACGGATATCCAAGCTTATGAGGACTTTCGGGAACTCTTCACGACATCTCGAGCTTCCAAGCCTGCAAGTCGGGCCACAAGTGGGTCTTACGCTGGCTTGAATGTCATGAGTCTGGCTAGTGGGTTCGGTTCAGCGTCGTCATCTCCCGCCAAATCTCAAACACATTCTCCCAATGGCAGCGTGTCTTCCCCACAGCCCGTGACTTCCCACATTCCTCTCAAGGAGACCCGCTTCTACAAGCGCGTGCTTTCGGAAGACATCGAACCGACCCTCCGGCTTGATGCTGCGCCCGGGATCTCATGGCTAACGCGGCGCTCGGTATTAAGTGGGATCTGCGATGGAACTCTCCTGGTTGAACCCATGCCGCCTTCAGCAAAGAAATATGAATTTCCTTGTTCAATGTGTGGCGAGCGCAGAAACGGTCCCACCAACGAGAGGACCCATCGATTCCGGACGTCCGATAGCGAGACCGCTCAACGGTATCCTCTGTGTGTACTGTGTCTAGAGAGAGTCCGTTCCAGCTGCGAGTTCACTGGATACCTCCGTCTCATCCTTGACGGCCATGTTCGCATTGGTGATGCGGAAGAGGAGAAGGATGCATGGGATGAAACTATCCGACTAAGGGAGAGAATGTTCTGGTCACGCATTGGGGGTGGAATTATTCCTTTGTTTGCTCACGCCAATGGCTTCCAAGGGAATATTCCTACACCTACTAATGGCGTTGAGGCTCCTGTTGCGGATGGTCGTGATGAGTGCCAGCGGTCCATCATCTCTACCGTCCCTGAGGATGTCGCTATAGAAACAAAGAACCTAGACGACATTGAAGAGCACAACCATGACGAGGGTTCTGTGGGAGACGATCCGTTTGTGTCTGCTCCCTCCGAGTCAGAATCTACAGCCAGCAGCGCGGCGGTCTCTCCCACGGATGCCAACGCACCCGTATTGAAGACAGACCTCGTTGATGATATGAACGAGCAACCTGATATGCAGGTTATCGTCCCTGAAAATACGCATGATGAAGCCGATAGCGTCAAGCTCTCAACTGAAGTTGAGGAGACGCCGAGCAACCACGACACCACAAAGAATGGTGATAAATGATATGATCAATGCCGATTTAACCCACGATTCTTATCGTTTCGACAACGCGGACGTTCCTCCGTTGTCTTGCACTCTACTTGGGTTTTTATTTCGTGTTCCGACTAGCATTTGCGCGGACCCACCCTTTTTCAAATTTCATCTATTCTCATATACCGGTATAGTTCAACCATGCCTGCTTGCTTAATTCCTCACCGATCCTGTCCTTTGCATCCGAGACATATTATCAGTCAAGAGCAGCATGGGGTATGTATTATTAATACCTTGATTTTTCTTGTTTCTCCTTTGTATACATATTATTCTTTCTATTGGGTTTGTTTTCATTTCTTGTGTATTTGGTTTTCTCCCAAGTTTCTTTACCCTTTCGCGTTTGTACCTCCTGCACCATTTGTTTGATCAACGCTGTCGGGACGGGAATGTCCTCGATGCGCGAAGGTACTCCTGGATGAACTATGACCTCGCATTTCAATGAATTCTGCGTTTCTTTGTCACATGGAATAGTGTCCACTCGGCACTTTCAAGTTTTTGCAGCATACATTTCTTTCTGTTGCTATTCCCCCGGTGCATCCAATTGCGATTGATTCTTTTTACGCGATATACATGGTGGCAGAGATATCAGGGCTTATGGAGCGGATGATGCAGGAATGCAAGGTAGTGGCTTTGCACCTAGCAACTTTAGGTAGAGCAAAAATTTATGATGTTCTCGAGTTCTTCGGTATCGTAATTTAGCGTAAACAGTCTACTTACTACGCGTGTAACAAGCGGAGCAACTACTATACCATGCCTGTTAATTTCCTTCTACAGACATAAGACCCAGATCAAACATGAAATGTTATCAAGATTTTACAACTGAAGTGTAGACGACACGCGTCTCGCCTCAAAGAAGACCTATCAACCACGTATACATACTCCTTCATCGACTGCAAAAAAAACGCCTGAGTAGACAACATAACGATAGATCCTAATTCCCAGTATGCCAGGTAAGAGTATGATAATAACAGAAAAAGGAAAGGGCCCAAATAGACACATCATGAAAGAGTCAAAAAAAAATGATAACTGAAAATACACAGTTGGTCTATTTCCTCGTCATAGCCTGCCGTTCATGAATGCGTCTGATCTGCTCTTCGATATTCATACTCTGAGGATTCGGAGGCGCGCCAGCAGGTCCGACAACAGGCGGCGGCACAGGTCCCGAACCAGGCACGGCACCTTCAACAGCCATCTTCTTGCGACGGGCCTCTTCCTCCGGATCGACGGCTCCAGAGCCAAGCATAGCAGCGGAATCGAATACGTCGCTTCGTTGACTGGCCAGACGTTTGAGGTTGTTGACCACGTCCACGGTGAAGAGGTTGGTGGTTGCGCTGCGGGATTCGGCCTTGGCGCGTTGTTCCTTCCAGCGGGGATCGAGCAGCTCGATGCGCATGTGTTGTTCCAGTTCGCCGACGGGGATCTGTTGGTGGCAGTTCGGGCAGAGCGCTGTGGCGCCTGTGGGGTTTTGGCGACGGGCTTGGGCTCGCGGGACGTAGTCGGAGCGGATGCGCATCGGTTGTTGTTGTTGTTGGGGTTGTTGAGCGGCGGCGGCTTTGGCGGCGGCGGCTTGTTCGCGTGCTTCCATGCGTTCCCGGATGTATTGCTCTTCTTCTTGGGCGGCGGTGGACATGGGTGGGGGGACGATGGGTTGTTGTTGAGGGGGCAGGCCTTGAGGGGGGTAGGCGGGGCCGGCGGGGATGATGGGTTCGGGTTGTTGTTGGGGATAGGCGTTGTAGTAGGTGGGGGTTTCCTCTTCAGTGGGCATGGCTTCTTCGATGCGGAGAGGGTTGAGAGACATCATGGCTTTTTGTTCGAGGGAGGCGGATTGGAGGTCGTTGAGGGAGGTTGGGGGAGGGAGGTCGACTTGGTCGTCTGCTTCGGTGAAGAGGACGGTTTCGACGACGACGAAATCATGCCAGTCAATTTGGGCGTATGCGATACGCTCTTGCTCTTCCTCCTCCTCCTTCTTTTGCTTCTGCTGTTCTTGGAATTTGACCCATTCGGCGCGTTGCTTGGCGCGGTCGAGGACGTGGAATTTGTTCTGGACGTTGCGCTCGAGGTCGGCGAGACGCTTCTTCTCTGTTGTGGCGGCGTCGATTCCTTCGGAGCGGAGGAGGATGGTGTATTGGTCGACGAGTCGAGTGAAGAACTGGTAGAGACTGTGTTGCGGGCGCAGGAAGTCGAACTGAAAGTTTCTGGTTTCTCGTTGGGAGAGCGCGGTCATGAACGATTTTCCACGCTTGGCGACAAATAGGGCCGTGAGCTTCACGACTTCCAGATCTTGCGCATTGATTATGGGCATCCGTGCAGAAAAGTGAAACTCCGGCGGTTCTTCGGGGCCCTTGGGCTTCTCGGGTTCAGCTGCGGGGGTGGCTTCGCCTGGTCGGCCTGCGGCCACTGCTGTTCCTCGTCCTTCCTTGATCTCGACAAGACGCCATTGGTAGAAGGGAGCGTAGGCGTCACCGGGGTTGAGGAAGGAGAATTTGGGGTTGTTCCGTTCCTTTTCACGAACGCGATCTAAGCGTCTGCGCGTGAGCTGCGCGGTCCAAATGATAGAATAGTATGCAAGGGTGTGACGTACCTTCGAAGACGACACCGTTTCGAGCGACGTAGCCGGCCGTTTTCTCGACGATGGCTGTTTCAATGTTAGCTTTCAGGCGTCACCAGGCCTCGGAGGCATCGACAAACTTACCTCGAATGTCCTTGGGTGGCAAGACCACGCCCTCAGGTGGCTTGCCCACCTCTTCCGGCAGCGGAGTACCTCCGTTACTTGCAGATGCCATGGTTCGCACTCCGATGAAAATGGAGAGACGCGGGATTGGATGAGAGAGTCCAGACTGAGGCGATTCGGCGACCTGCGATGTTCCTTTTCGGGTTGACTTCATTTCTGGGCGCGGCTATTGAAGACTAAGCGCGGGCGGACAGACTACCCGCGCGCGTAGACATGGGAGCTGATGATTGGTTGGATTGACCCGAGGCTTAACCGCGATGGGCCCAGTCCCTGGCGTTGTCAATCAATCTACTTAGTAACTTAAGTAACTTGACCGTTGATGAACGCTGGGGCAACATCTATAATTGATTATTATTGTTTGTTGTCATGGCTCAAAGCTTGGACGGATAACATGAATTTTGGGACATTGTAGACTATATTTCGCTATAATTAAACTGCCCCTACGAGGCTGATGCTGGCGGCGTGCATGGGGGCCTTGCATAATGCTGACGGGCAGAAAACCAAGAGTCTCTCTCAAACTGCGGCCGACGATCTGGCCTTAAAGCGGCCGACGCTTTCGTCCGCCTCCCTAAATCGTCCCACACGTGCTGTGCTCGCTCTTCATCATCTTCCCTCTTACTCTCTTGCCTTCCCCGGTCCCCTTTTGTTCCGCTTCTTCATTGTCATGGCGCTTCTTTTTTTGAAATAACTTCTTACCCTCTTTTGATTGTCCACTTTTTTGTTTACACCCACCCCACACCCCATCTACACCTGTGCCTGTTCAGCGGGGGTGGTCCCGAAGCTCCCCTGGAGTTGGAGCATTGTGCAGTAACGGGCTCCGTCATTGTTTCGCTTGCCCGCGGTAGCTCTTGATGATCAATTGCCCTTTATTTTTCTGCTTTTAGGATCTTCTGAACCCCTCCCCCGACCAGTCTCCTGTCCACTCCTTTTTTCTTTCCTCTCTCTCTCTTCAATTCCCTATTCGAACCGCCTTCGACAATGGCGGCCAAATCCAAAGACACCTTGGCGGTTACGCCGCCGCCAAAATCATCTTCACGCTCTCCCAGCCGCTCTCCGGGTCCCAAGAGCCGCAAGAAGGCCGTCGCGGCCTCCTCGAGTTATGCCTCAGATGGCGTTACGGACAACAATATCTTCCATCTTCCCGCCTCCGACTATAGAACTCTAGTTCTGGTGACCATTGTTGCGGCAGTGGTCCGGTTGTTCAGGATCTACCAGCCTTCTAGCGTTGTCTTCGACGAAGTCCAGTATGTGTGCATGCGTTTTTCCGCCCCCGCATATGCCGGAGATAATCTTGTTCTAATGCATGGCGGACAGTTTCGGAGGTTTTGCGACAAAGTACATTAAGGGCCGCTTCTTCATGGATGTTCATCCTCCTCTTGCCAAGTTGCTCATCACACTTGCTGGCTGGCTGGCGGGCTTTGATGGCGAGTTCGATTTCAAGGACATTGGAAAGGATTACCTCGAACCGGGCGTACCATATGTTGCCATGCGCATGCTTCCGGCGATTTTGGGTGTTCTCACGATCCCATTGATGTTCCTCACACTGAGGGCATCGGGATGCCGCACTATCACCGCCGTGCTAGGTGCCGGTGTCGTCATCTTTGGTAGGTCTCCATGCCCGTCCGACTGGTCAATTGCACATGCTGATTTAGCGCAGAGAACGGTCTCATTACTCAGTCTCGTCTCATTCTCTTGGATTCCCCATTGGTGTTCTTCACTGCGCTCACCGCATTGTCTTTCACGTGCTTTACCAACCAACAGGAACTGGGACCTTCTCATTCCTTCCGTGGACCCTGGTGGTTTTGGCTCGCGGCAACTGGCCTCTCTCTGGGCGCTACCCTCAGTGTCAAATGGGTTGGACTCTTCACCGTTGCTTGGGTTGGGTCGCTTACCGTTCTCCAACTGTGGGTTCTGCTTGGTGATCCAAAGAATGTCACACCGGTACGTGCTTCCAATCATCGATCTAGATCTCCTTGAGCCAGCGGCTGACCTCTTATCTCACAGCGCCTGTGGTTCAAGCACTTCTTTGCTCGTGTCTTCTGCCTGATTGTTATTCCCCTCAGCTTCTACTGCGCCATGTTTGGCATTCACTTCCTGTGCCTTGTCAACCCCGGCGATGGAGATGGATTCATGTCGTCCGAGTTCCAAGCAACCCTGAACTCCAAGGGGATGCAGGACGTTCCCGCCGATGTTGCATTTGGATCTCGCGTCAGCATCCGTCACCTCAACACCCAAGGAGGCTATCTTCATTCTCACAACCACATGTACCCCACAGGAAGCAAGCAGCAGCAGATCACGCTCTACCCCCACAAGGATGAGAACAACCTCTTCGTCCTCGAGAACCAGACTCAGCCTCTTGGCCCCTATGGAACAGTGGAGGGCCCCTTGGCCTGGGACAACATAACCGCGGAGTATATCGAAGACGGCGCTGTGATCAGGTTGAATCACCTTATTACTCGGAGACGTATTCACTCGCATGATGAGCGGCCTCCTGTTACAGATGTGGATTGGCAATTCGAGGTGTCCGCATATGGATACGATGGATTCCCCGGAGATGCAAACGATCTCTTCCGCGTCGAGATTGTGAAGTCCCTGTCCGAGGGCGAGGAGGCGAAGAAGCGACTGCGGACCATCCAGACTAAGTTCCGCCTGGTGCACATCATGACCAACTGTGTCCTGTTTTCCCACAAAGTCAAGCTTCCCGAGTGGGGTTTCGACCAGCAAGAGGTGACCTGCGCCAGAGGAGCTACTTTGCCCAACAGCATCTGGTACATTGAATCGAACAGCCACCCTATGCTCGCAGAGGATGGTGAGAAGGTTAACTACAGGAACCCCGGTTTCTTCGGCAAGTTCTGGGAGCTGCAGAAGGTGATGTGGATTACCAATGCAGGCCTGACTGAATCGCACGCTTGGGACTCTCGCCCGCCTTCCTGGCCGACCCTCCTCCGTGGCATCAACTTCTGGGGCAAGGATCACCGCCAAGTCTACCTCCTGGGCAACCCCTTCATTTGGTGGTCTTCGACGGTGGCCATTGTTATCTACATTATCTTCAAGGGAATCTCTGTTCTTCGTTGGCAGCGGAGCTGTGGTGATTACCACAACGTGAACTTCAAGCGGTTCGACTACGAAATTGGTACTAGTGTACTTGGCTGGGCTTTCCACTACTTCCCCTTTTACCTCATGGCGCGCCAGCTTTTCCTGCACCACTATTTCCCTGCCCTCTACTTCGCTATCATTGCCCTCTGCCAGGAGTTCGACTTCCTTGCCAACCGCATCAAGAGCCTTGGGTTACCATCTCGCCCTGTTATCGGCAAACTGTTGGCCGGCATCTTCCTTGCGATTAGCATCTTTGCTTTCACACTGTACTCGCCTCTGGTCTACGGCAACCCCTGGACCCAGGATGCTTGCAACAGTGTAAAGCTAATGGACAGCTGGGACTTTGACTGCCACACATTTTACACTAGCGTAAGTCTCCCGAGCACCGCAGCCGATACTCATGTTGTAGGCGCTAACATGATTACAGCTTGACCAATATGTGACCCAGATCGTGGACACGCACCCGGCTATCCCCACGACTCAAGCGTCAGTGCCACAAGCACCCCCCGTTGTGATGGAACAACCACCACAACAACAGGTCCCGCAGCAAGTTCCGCAACAGAAACAGGAAGTCTTGCAGGAGGAGGCACAGGAACCGGCTGTCACGCCCCGGGCTCGGCACACCGCCAAGGCCCGTGTGGAGTACCGTGATCAACACGGAAACGTGCTGGACGAGGAACTTGTTGCTCAGTTGAAGAAGGAGGGTAAGGTCCAGTTCGAGAGCCGTCATGAGACGAAGACTCGCCTGGAGAACGGCCGTGTTGTCGACATGATCGACGGTCAAATTGCCCCGCCTCACCCCGACGTTGAAGGCCAAAATCCCGAAACTGTTGGAAGACAGCCCCCTCAGGCTGTAGAGGACGGCCCAGCTTCAGTTGCCGGCCAAGGAAGCTCCCAGGAGCAGCGCGGCTCGCCTGACCCCAAGCCGGCCAGCGAGGCCAACGAGGCGACCAAATCTTGAATAGACTTGAAGAAGCATTTGTGAGGGATCACTGTACTGGTTTCAAACTTTGGCTGTTCTCATTTACTTCTTCTGTACTTCTTTTCTAGCAATAATTGGCTTCTCTTTCCTCCCTCTTGCTCATTCAACTACTTTGGTCTAACGAAATGTGACTCTTGTACATGATTACTTACGTGTTCCTGGATTTAGCGGCCTACTTGATTGTACATGTCTTATCACAGTTTGGGAACTTGGTGTAAGCGCAACGAAAACAATCTTCCAAATAAAACCTCGTCAAAACAACAAACTATGCACAGTGGTCTTGTAAAAACGGTCTCACCCCATACTCTAGTCTTCACAAGTTTTAGTGTACAGCGATCAGCGCCGACCTGCCTCAACTTCTTTCTTCCTAGAATCTCAACAACACGGCCTTGTCTGCAATTGCAGATGGTGAACTATCTAGTAGTCCCACTCCTCCTTTCCGTACTTGTTGTAGCGCTCGTGGAGGTCCTAAAAAGAACAGGGAATCGTTTGTTAGTGATCCAGTTCGCATTGTCGACTATTGGTCGCGAATATCAACCACATGGGGATGGGGGGCAGTAAATACCACGGGCAGGGTAACGTTGGGAACAATGACGGTGTTCAAGGCGCTGGGGGCGTTGCGCAGGGGCTGGCTCTTGTCACCGTGGGGGTGGTATTGGTACTTGTAGACCTTGCCACTCTCGTCGGTCTGCTCCCAGGGCATGGCACTCTCGCCAATGCGGACGTTGCTCTCGGAGGTGACGGAGGTGGGCTTTCTGCCGAAGTACCTGATCATCGAGAGGAAAAAATTATGTTAGCCAATTGAGTCGATTCATAGTTGAATTGTATAGTAGTGTCGAGGAATTTTTTTTTTTCGCAATTGAGCGTTGTATCTTTTGTCGTGCTGACACACTATGAAAAGAAATCGGGGAAAAGGGAAAAGTATTCACCATCCGGCAAGCAGGAAAGCACCGGACATGACACCGAGCAGAACCTGTTCAAGTATAATTTCACCAATTAGATTCCAACGATCGCAATTGATTTCTATCGGTTCATTGGGTCCGTACGTAGAGCTCGGGGTCACGCTTGGGGCCCTTGTCGAGGCCAGCCTCCTCAACCTTGGAGCTGTAGAAGCGGCGCGGGGGAGCGCGAAGGAAGGACTGGCGGGCGAACGCCCGGCGGGAGGCCATAGCAGCAATTGAAGACATGTTGATGGGATTGCGAGGAGCGGACGTGTGTCTGCGAGGACTGTGGGGGGTTGGTGGTTCGAATGGGTCTTGAGGGAGGAGGTGGGAGAATCGGTGGGCGTCGGACGTATGATGTTGCCGGCGCATCATCAGGTGACATTTCGTTGGCCAGCTTCCGGCACGGCTGCTGACTCAGCCCGCGTTGCTGGCCTGACACTTTTTTTCGTGTGCTGCCTTCATGCCTGACTGCCTGATTGACTGCCTGATTGACTGCCTGGAGCTAAGCTCCGGGACTAAACTTAAGCTGGACTGGTTTGGTTAGGCTTTCCTTCTTCCCCCCAATAATCAGTCATCATACGGTATCGATTGCGATAAACCCTCGTGTTTGCTCTGCGCATGTCATCCACCTGTCCGGCTCTGAGGTGTCTGGGGTCTTATTTCCTCACTTCGGCCATCGCAAGTCTTGGGTTTCGGCTTGCGACCGTGATGTGACGTGATTCGCGTGTCTTGCAATCACCGCAACTTCATTTCCAAGGTTCGTCGTTTGAATCTCTCTCTCTCTCCCTTCCCGCGTGCCGACAGGGGGAGAAACCGGTCTGGATCCCGTCTTTTTAGATGAGGCTAACTGAGCACTGTCCAATATAGGTTGCTTACATTCTTTTTTCCTCATCTTAATACCAGTCTACCTCGATATACGTCTTTTCTTTTCTTCGTCACTCCTTCACTTTATTCCTACCGATAACTTCCCTCACCGCGCTCCTGTGATCACAGACGACGCTCCGTCCCATTAACCCGAACCGCTTCATTCCTGTCTGGCCACAATATGTTAGATTGCTGTGATATATGAGTAGAAATTTTCCATCCACGCTCAACGACATGCCTCTATCTTCCGCGATTTCGGAGACCAGCGACACGCCTGCCTCGGCGCCCCCGCAACATGTTCTCGGTATTCCGCGACCCCCTTCCGTGGGAGGAATTTCGTCCCGGGTGACGGACATGGCGTCAGATGATGGAGAACAGTCCCAGACATATACCGGAGTCTCGTCGCATCCACCGCAGTCCCGAGCGTCGGCTCCTAGACGAGGGCCCCCACCTGCCAGGAGCTCTATCACATCGACCAGTCAATGGACTAGGCCAGGGAGTGCTAGTAGCAAGCAGAGCCGGTCACACATTCCTTCGCTTGCTGCGCAGGGTTTCTTCCGTCCTATGTCTTCTCAGCGACTCCAGGCTCATCGGGGTCGGCCTATGACGAAGGGGACCATGACCGACACATCGGAGGATTGGAACGATCATACGAGTCAGAACAGGCAGAGCTTCATCTCGAATAGCACGATACCGCAAGGGTCCATCCCTCCGACAGAACAAGAAGCTCCTCCTTCAAGAGGCACGGAGTTCACGGACCCTATCATCCCTGACCGCAACACCTCGAATGCTAGTCCTATCGGTAACACCACGGGAAGGAGTCAGGGCGAGAGCGCCAAACTTCTCTACGACAGGGAGAGGGCTTATAAGATCCAACAACCTCATCTCAACCTCGGGGGAAACTATCATGGGTCAAACGAGCCTGTCAGCCCCCACCGGTCGACGCTTTCTTTCCTCTCTCTGCAGAACAGACATCAGGGACATGAAAGTAGCCGTGACATACGGGCACATGAGAGGCTTTCGTCTGCCGGCTCTACCCCTGGATCTATCGACAAAGCCCCTCAGGCCGGTGCAAGCAAAAGCCGTTTGGGCAAAAACTACGAATATTTTGTCGGCAACACCATCTTCTTCGGCCGGGGAAGGCTCCAGAACTCTAGGGATAAGCCCGTCAATATCGCTACAGCAATCTTTGTGCTTGTGCCTACGGCTCTATTCTTCGCATATTCGTAAGTATCCCGTCTCTGGCTTGGTGCGTTCGAGTAGCTAACAGTACATAGGGGTCCTTGGCTCTGGCACAACATCTCGCCCGCCCTTCCCATTTTGTTCGCGTATCTTTTCTACTTGTGCTTTTCATCATTCATACATGCTTCCGTCGTTGATCCTGGGGTAAGACACGGATTCAGGCAAGACAGTGCATCATTGATCGCTAACAGATCCGCTCCAGATTATCCCTCGCAACCTTCATCAGCTGCCACCCCCGGATCCCGCAGATGATCCGTTGGCAATTGGCCCTCCAACCAACGACTGGGTGATGGTGAAGCTGGCGACATCCGACGTTGCAGCCATGGACGTGCCTGTGAAGTACTGCAAGACCTGTTGTATATGGCGTCCTCCCCGCTGCTATCATTGCCGTGTATGCGACAACTGTGTTGAGACTCTTGACCATCACTGTGTGTGGCTCAACAACTGCGTTGGTCGCCGTAACTACCGGTACTTCTTCACATTTGTGGCATCCTCCACCCTCCTTGCTCTGTTCTTGCTTGGTGCCAGTCTCGCACACATCTTGGTGTATAAATCACGAGAGCATGTCAGCTTTGGCACAGCTATCGATAAATGGAGAGTTCCCTGGGCCATGGTGATCTACGGTGCGGTTGCCGCACCATACCCGGCCTCGTTATGGGCCTACCATCTCTTCCTGGTCGGTCGGGGCGAGACCACCCGAGAATATTTGAACTCGCACAAGTTTGCGAAAGCCGACCGCCATCGGCCCTTCACTCAAGGCAATGTCTTCCGGAACTGGTTGTCCGTTTTCCTGCGGCCACGGCCCCCAACGTATATGCAGTTCAAGCAGCCTTATCAGGAAGGGGACCAGCGCCTGAGCACGATGAAGCGCAAGTATCTCCCTCGAAATGTCGAGCCTCAAAATGACATTGAGATGCAACAAGTGCCTCCTCCCTCTCAACCCCAAGAGTGAGTGGTAATGGTGCCGGTTTGCTCTCGCTGCTCCACCCCATCTCCATTTCCGTATGACTTTTCCTTCTTGCTCCCTGCGGGGCCATTCCTTCTTCTTTGCTTCTTCGTCACCATTTTTCCAAAGATAGTAAGATCTTAATGGATGTTACCACCTCATTGCCATTCTTTCATTGAACCAATTGGGCTCACCGCATATACGTTGACATACCCCACCCTACTTTCTGTTCATGTCTTGATTTTCGAGCGAGTTGCACGTATGAAGCAGCCGTTGGCTACGTTCTCTTCACGATATTCTTTTTTCTTTTCCTTTATTCCATATTTTTTTCCCAATTTCTACTATATATACACGTCTGTCCATTGAGTGTCTGTCTGTCTGCTGTTGTTGATGCTGTTGCGGCAGATCAGGTGAAACATGATATCGGGGAACGATTTAGGGCTATGTACAATATGCAGATACTGGACCAGAGATAGACCAAGGAGATCCGAAATAGATAGCCGTTGGCGCCAAAGAAGCGTAGTAACCGGACGAGGTGAGCCCGGAATACCCGAGCATGGCGATTATATGCCTCATAGTAGATACAAAAGAATTGTCCGGGTGTAGGAGACCTGTCTCTTGAGATGCGCGAGGCGGGGGTAGAAGAGGACAAAGCTGGGGCTTGTTCACCAGTTGGGAATCCTGGTCAGGACCGGAGAAGAGGAACAGGTTAAAGATAAAACGAGGGGGTTTCGACAAAGAGACGAGGGGATCTACTTAATGTCTAGCACTGGTTCTGACTGCATTCCGCGGCGCCGTCGTCGGGGGTTGTTGCTGACGATACTACGGCTCTCCTCGACCCTCTCTCTCTGTCTTTCTCTCTCTCTCCGCACCCTCTCCCTCTCCCTCTCTCTCTCTCTTCGCTTCCTCTTCCTCCTCCTCCTCCTCCTCCCTCCCTCCCCTGCTTTCTCCCTCCCCCATTCCTTGTCCATGACCTTCTCCTCAACCCCGGTTAAGCATTCAGACACCTTCTCTGCGTCGGCTTTTTCACGCCGTCCATCCCGCTTCCGGGGTTAAGATATGAAAAGTGAGGAGGTATAAGGCTCACCACCGATATCTGTCTCCTCCTCCTGGTTTAAGGAGAAAGAACCACTGACCACCTTTCCCACTCTCTCCCCGTAACATTGGCAGCACGCCAGGTCAGCCACACTCTCGGAAGTTGACAACCACCACCCCCCGCGTTAATTTCTAGCAATCCATCCCTGGAAACATCAACTTATCCCGAGCTGTTTGGTGGTCCTGCCCCTCGTACCAAAACCTAGTTCTCACCGCATATCCTTTTTCCCGCAGCCCTTGGGGATGGAAGGTCGACCTGGTTCTCCCGGCGCGTCTCCCGCGACTCCCGCAACCCTTTCGGACCTCAAGAAACACACGCACGAGCACCTCGAGGGCACAATGGCCTTCGAATATACCGAACAACTCCTTACCCCCGAAAATAGTCGCTCCGAAACCTCCAGCAACAACGACAACGCGTCCACCGACGAGAAACCCACCCTCCGCCGACGATCTACACGTGTAACACGCGCTTCTTTACGAGGGGCAGTCCAGCTCAGTGACCATTTGGACGCGGATAATCATGGATTACCTTCTCCGGCGGATGAAAGTGATCGTACGGTCTCCGGTGATGTCCTGGCCAGTGCGGTCGAGGCTGCTGAGGTGAAGAGGACGAGGTCCAAGTCCTCCTCCCACCTCCGGCACAGCATAGCGGTCATGGAAACTGCCTTATGGAGCGAGACAACACTTCCGCAGAATAAGGAGGACGGTGACGACCACCCAATGGCGCCAGATACCCCCGTCTCCAAATCGTCTCAGGAACCGCAACCCAACGACATCGGCATGTCTCTACAACAACGGACGTTACGAAAGCGCGTGGAAAAAGTGTTGACCCAGGAAGACAACAAGGACCAAGAAAAGGTTTCTGCGCCTGCCAAACCTGAACGTCGCAAGTCACTACGTCGGTCAACCCGATTAAGTATACTCGACAAGGCTTCTGACCTGGTTGGTCGGGCTAGCAGCGTTTTGGGCAAACGCTCGCGTGATAAGGTAGAAAAGAGCAGTGGTCCGGATCGACGTGCGAGTCTACGGCCGCGAAACGTCGCCGCTCTCAAGGAAGAAACGCCCGCGCCTACGCCGAGTGCTCCAGCTCCTAAAAAGAGACGGGTCTCGGAAAGTGATCTTCCGTCCAAGACTCAGTCTACGGAGGAGCCGCCGCAGGAGCAATCCGCCCCAGCTGAACCGGTCCCGCGCTTGAAGCGAAAGCTTTGGCTGGCGCATGGCCTTTACACCGGACAAGAACATACCGACTCTCCGCCGGTTCAAAGCCGGAATAGGAGCAGGCGGAAGAGTCAAACTCAGTCTCAGACTCAGTCGCAACGGAAACTGCTGCCACTGCCTATGTTTGCAGGCGACCGACTCTTGAAGAATGGACGCGATTTCCAACTGCCTTTCGACGTCTTCTCGCCGCTGCCTCCTGGTCAACCCAAACCAGATGAGTGGAGAAAGACTAACAAGAGTAAGTATTCTGCGCATGACTGATGAGATGGCCATTGCTAACACGGGCTCTAGACGTCTTTGTGGGAGAGGCGGGCAGTATATGGCGGGCAAACAAGCACTGTGAGCTGTCCAAGTGCATGTGCACGCCAGAAACGGGCTGCGACGAGGAATGTCAGAACCGTTACATGTTCTACGAGTGTGATGAAGGTAATTGCGGGGTGGGTGAGGAGTGTGGCAACCGCAGTTTCGAGGAGCTTAAGCAAAGGACCAAGGCTGGAGGCAAGTACAACATCGGCGTGGAAGTCATCAAGACGGCCGATCGTGGGTACGGTGTTCGGAGTAACCGCACCTTTGAGCCCAACCAGATCATTGTGGAGTACACGGGTGAGATTATCACTCAGACAGAGTGTGAGAAACGAATGCGGACGATCTACAAGCATAACGAGGTTGGTCGGTCCCAGTTACGGTTTCTTCATGACTACATTGCTAACGACGCTCCAGTGCTACTATCTGATGTACTTTGATCAGAATATGATCATTGATGCCACTCGGGGCTCCATTGCCCGCTTTGTTAATCACTCTTGTGAGCCCAACTGTCGGATGGAGAAGTGGACTGTCGCTGGAAAACCGCGCATGGCTCTCTTTGCTGGCGATCGTGGCATCATGACGGGTGAGGAACTGACCTATGACTACAACTTTGAGTGAGTTACTCTGTCTGCGGAATCACACCCACAAGCATAACTGATTTCGGAATGTAGCCCATATTCCCAGAAGAATGTCCAGCAATGCAGATGTGGCTCATCGAATTGCCGTGGCATTCTGGGCCCGAGGCCCAAGGAGAAGGCACAACGTGCGAAAGAGCAGAAGGTGGAGAAACCGAAAAAATCAGCCAGCAAACGGACAAATGGTAAGACAGCCGGCACCAAGCGCAAGTCTGGCGATGCGCTCGACGTATCATCTTCGCGCGCCAACAAGAAACAAAAACTTGCGGTAGCCAAGTCAATCAAATCTGGCGTCAAGAAGGCGGTTTCGCGAGCGCGTGCAACCGTCACCAAAACTACTGCTTCTCGAACAAAGCAGGCAAAGAAGGAGAAAGGCAGCCCTGTCAAGCGAACGGCCGCGAAGGCCACGAAGACGACGAAATCGCCGACGAAGAAAACGGCAACGAAGAAAGATGAACCTAAAGGAAAGAGTAACATCAAACTCCCTAAGGTTAAAGCCACGAAGGTCAAGGCAAGGGCCACAGTGCCCAAGAAGTCAGCACAGACCGCGAAAGGCAAGACTCAGAATGCCGCTCCATCATCGTCGAAATTAAGCCGCCCATCTGCAGCCACCAAAGCGAAAATCCTCGCTGCGGCCAAAGGCACAAACCCACGGAGGAAATCGACGAAAAAGGATGATACGAAGACAGATCATAAGACCACCGCGCCTAAAGCTCAGAAGAAAACGCAAGCACCCAAACAGGAGCCCAAGTCCAAAGGTGCGATAAAGCGTACGGGGCCTGCAGCCACGAAAGGCAGTAAAAAGTGATCATCGATATAGGCTGCTTCATGGCGCCCTTATATCCAGATCATATGAGGACAGCCTTTGTCCTTCAGGAACCTTCAACCTTATCTTTGACGATCACCTTTTTTTCTGTAGTGAACCGAATCCTCCATCTATCTCTTCTGGCTTAACCTTACTTTTACTCCAACTTATTACCCCTTTCTGTTCTCTTCTGGGTTTTTCTGGGCCTGCTTTCTGGCCCACAGACTCTTTTCGTTTCTCTTTCCTCTTCTGTTTCCTTTCTTGAGATATAATTTCGGCAGCTTCCCCCTCTTATTAGGCCCTAATGCGATAGGTAGGTAGGTAGGTATTTCACTATGCTTCCCATGATCCTTGCTGGATTTACTGGATGCTTCGGTTTGCTATTTTGTGCTTACCTGCCTTTATTTGTTATTTTCTATTCTTCTTTTTCTTTTTACTCTTTTCTTTTCGTTATCACGATGGCGCTCTTCGAACTGTAACACCCCCTTTTGTTATCGTTATATCCTCACTCATCTCCAGTGTTATGTTTGATGTAATGTTTCTGGTCTCCTTTTTCCCTTTCTTTCTCCCTATCAAATCATATCAATTCACGAAGCAGGCTTGGAATAGGACGAAATGTTTGATGCGCGAATGTGCTTCCTTGGCTTTGGATTGCTTGTTATGTCTTATATGGATTGACTGAGTAGCTAGCCTGTTTTCCCTGTTTTTGACTTCAAGCTTGATTCTCATTTCATCGATCGGTCAGAATAGGATATTTCTTCATTCCAGATTATTCTGTCGCGCGCTCATGTAGTCAGTACTATTTAGTAACACTGTTGTTCAAGACATTTCGGTTGGTGGGGGGAGAACGCGGCATAGTACGCGCTGGTGGAATATATTTCCGCAGACGGGGTGATCTAAACCTTCGGTTCCCTATGTATCCACAGGCTTCTTCCAACCACACATGATGCTATGCATCTCCATTTTTTAGTACTGGGATTTCAATCTTCTAGTCCAGCACTTCAACCCACCATTTCTCAGTCCTATTATATATATTACATACCAGTAGTTGTAGCAGTGCCCTGGAACAACCAATTGCAATTAGTACTAGATGTCCGCCGGGTGCCTTCTACAACCCAACCGGTATAAGCCTACGAGAGAAGTAGTACATGGGGAAGCGTAATGAGAATCTCAGTTACGGTGAATGAATCCAACTGGTTCTTCTAGATTTTTTTTTTTTTTTAAAAAAAAGTAGTAGTAGTAGTAGTAGTAGTAGTAGTAGTAGTAAGGCTGCTGCTGTTCAAGTTCCAGCGTTTATATAAATAAGTGGATTCTGTAATGAAGTAGCAACCCAGGCGAAATGATGAACCGTGGAGTCTCCTTCAGTTCATGGTATCGAGTATCACTAGCCGAGTACTACCAGAGATTGATTTCGAGAAAGGGGGATAAACTAAACGATGTACTACTAGTTTTGTATACGGTGCTATATGTAAAGTGATACGCTACACTAAACAATCAAGAGACGTGAAAGGAAAGGGTTTATATGGAGGAATGAAGAAAAAATATACCCCCCTATGATACAATAACAGAGATAAAGGAAAGGAATATAAAAATGATAAGCCGATTGGCACAAGCCATACATATACCGTGTATGATAATTCCACAGTCATGATAATTGAAAAAGAAGAAAAGTTCATTCCGAGTCCCCGTGATTTCACGCCATAGCACCGTTTCCTAGCTGCGCCTTGACTGTAGGTTTAAAGAAGAAGTTCTGGTTCTAAGGAAAGAAGGAGAATTGAAAGAAAAGACTAATATGTCTTTCTAAGCATTTTCCGCCTGTATGTTTTATTGGTTATGGGCATGAAATATCTCATGCGGTGTTGGTATCAGCTGGTTGTTGGTGTTCTTGTTGCTCCTGCTGCTCTGACTCCTTGGGTTGGGCCGTCTCCTGGGCTGGTTGCTCAGGCTTAGGCTCGGGGACAGGAGGTGCAGAGAGAGCTTCGGCTGGGGTGGGTTCGGGTTCGGGGATAGGTTCAGGCTCCTTGGATTCAGCTTCAGCTGGAGCTTCTTCGGTTGGTTTTTCTTCAGCCGGGGGTGCTTCAGCTGGAGGCTGGGGTGCCGGTACTGGCTCTGGCTGTTGCTGTGGTTCCTCTGGAGCTGGTAATGCGGGCGGCGTAGGTTCTTTGGGTGGCTGGGTTTCCTCTGGCTGTTGAGGTGGAACGAGGGGTGTTTCTTCTTCAACCTTGGAAGCGGCTGGTTCCTCTGCGTTAACGGGAACGTGCTCTTCTGGTGCTTGTGGTGGTTCATCTGCCTGGGGCTCTGATGGTTGCTCAGCAGGCGCCTGCTCGGTCTGTGTCTGTTCGGTCTGCTCGGGCTGCTGCTCGGTTGCAGTCTGGGGCGTTGGCTCTGCAATCTCGGTTGGAACTTCCTCAGGAGCTTGTGATGGGGCTTGCTCTTGGGGCTGATCTTGCTGCACTGGTTGCACAGGCTGCTCGGGTTGCTGAGGTTCTTCTGGTTGCTCCGGTTGCTCTGGCTGCACGGATTCAACGGGCTCTACAGGCTCCGCTTGCACAGGCTGTTCCGGCTGAACAGGTAGCTCAGGTTGTTCCGGCTGCTCTGATTGTGCAGGTTCAACTGCCCGTACAGAATCCTCCTGCTTGGGCTGTTCTGGCTGAAAAGGTGGCTCTGCTTGCGTAGGTTGCTCGGGCCGAGCAGGTGATTCCGACTTCACGGGCTGTTCCACGACCGGCTCGCCTGCCGGCTCTTCCATTTTCTCCGCTGGAGCCTCGGGAAGTTGTTCGATGGACTGCGGTGCAGGAGCTTCGGATACTTGCTTGGTATGCTGTTCGTTGAGTGGTTCAGCAGGCCGTTCGCCTTGTTCCGCTGCAGCTGGTTGAACGGCAGTCTCTGCAGCCACAGTGGTGTCCTCTGCCGGCTGCGTCTCAGGCACCCCGGCCTTATCCGCAACGGGCTCAACTGTTTCCGTAGCAGGAGGCTGTTCAACGTGGGTAGGTGCATCCATTTCCATCTCGATGTCCGCCCCTTGGTTGTCACCATGTTCTTCGCCCGGTGGCTGGCTCAGACTCGCTTCCAACGTACCGAGCAGATCGACTTCCTTGCTCTCTGCAACAGCCTCATTAGGCTGAGGAGCTGCTTGCTCGGAAACTGGTTGCTCGACCGGCTGTTCCGCCGGCTGTTCCACCGGTGCTTGATCCTGTGCGGTTTCTGGAAGAGGTTCTACATCCTCCATGGTCGTATCCATATTCTGATCATCCTGTGTCGGCAGCTGAACAGTATCAGTACTTGTCTTATCTGGCTGTGCTGGTTCATCTGCAGGCTGTTTATCGACAGGCTGCTCTGAAGCTGGTGCAGCTGGCAATGTTTCTGCAACGGGAGGTTGGGGGGCTTCCTGGGGCGCCGGAACATCTTCAGCGCTCGGAGCTGGCTCCTGTTGCTGAGTAGCTGGAACTGGCTGAGGGGTTGCAGATACGCTATCCTCAGGACCAGGTATTGAGGGGTAAGCTTCGGTCATCTCCACATCTTCCTTCTGTCCTGATGCTTCACTCGTCTGCTCAGGAGCCTCTGCTGTGGGCTGGATAGCAGCAGGTTCTGAAGGAGGTTCAGCAGCGACGGATTGTTGTTCTGGCTGAGTGGGCGGGACAGCTGGCTCTGCAGCTGGCTCTGATGCTGTCTCGGGAGCCGGTGCTGGAGCCGGTGCCGAGGCTGATTCTGAAGCAGTTGAAGAAACCTCAGGGGTTGGCAACGCCGCATCTGTAGAACCAACTGTGGCAGCTGGTTCAGTTGCCGGAGCCGGTGCAGGCACAGGCGTCGAGTCAGTCGGCGGCTCAGTGCTGGGACGCGGAACTGGAGTTTCCGGAGTCTTTGCCTCTAGCATAGACTCATCTCCCTCGTCGCTCTCATCGCCTTCCTCACCCTCCTCGTCGTCCTCTTCCTGTCCATTCTGATCACCAGACATGCGTGACGCATCCCCATCCTTGGCGTAATCTGAAGCGCCATCCACCCCGGAGCCATTGGCACCATGAACCGTGGCGGCATCCGCGCCATCGCCTGGAGCAAACATGACCTTCTTTCTCCGCCCCTTTCCAAAGCCCTTCGCCTTGCGCTTTGGGGGAGGGGGGCGTCTTTTTGGAGGAGTCATGACAGCTGCAGAGTTTGTATCCGCGACTACCACACCCTCGGCGTTGACAACTCCAACTCCCTCAATGACCGTACCGGGCGCTGGCGCCTCAGGGGTTACGGTGACCGCGGTGTTTTCAGCTACAACTTGAGCTCCATCGGTGATCTCTCCCTCAATCTTGTGTCCCTCCGGTACCCATGCTTCGTAAATCGAGATATTCCCGGTCGCCGGGTCGACCTTCTTGAACTTGGTCCTCCTCATCGGCGCAGGAGCATTATTTCCATCTGTAGTCGCAGCAGCAGCACCGTATAGAGTGGGTAAACCCGGTCGTCGCTTGGCGAGGAATTCAACTTCTGATGATTCGAGGTGTCTCGGTACGGCGGACCACTTGCGCGTGACGAAACTGCGTTCGGTGCTCTGGATAAGTGGCTGTTCCTCTCCGTCGGTCGCTTCTTTCTCTTCGTCTTCGGAGTCTTTTGACGCTTGGCGGATGTAGATGCATCCGGCTCGCGCAGCTCGCAGGAGGGCTCTGCTCATGGGACTCAACAGGTGACTGTCTCGAGGCATTGGGTGTTCTGGAATGGTTGACTTGCCCCCGGGGCCCTGCACGACAGCTTCAGTGCCTTCGGCCTTAGGGACCTGCGAGACAGTCTGAGTTTGACGTGTCCAGCGTCGTACAGGGAGCCCCTCGAACACATCGTGATCGATCTGACTTCTGTTACGGTTGGCGCCATCGCCGAATTGGCGACCAGAGCGAGATGATCTAAACTGGAGGATTGTCAGTACACATCAGCGATAGCATCTTTCTATACCGCATTGGCAAGTTTCGGTGCAATGGTGAGTGGATCGATAACTGGGGGTCGGTGTCGGGGTCGTGGATCGCGGCAACAAGCTTACAGTAGGTGGCATGATGAGCGCCGGACCTGCAGTCTCACTGTTCGGAGAATAATCAGGATAACGGCAGAGAGCCCCTCACCCAGTGAATCTACGGAGCTGGGTGTGGTTTGCCCGATTGTAAAGAAAGGGACTCTTTGGGAGGGCGAGGCTGTTTTGGAGGTGATGGTGAATCGGAGCAGCGCGATGCGATCGCTCAGCGAAACGCCGCGCCGCCGCCCCCGCACGTGACTGGGGTCACTCAGAACCCTCACATAGAATAAACATGACTACCATCGACTACAGATTCAAGATGAGATGGATTGGGCTAATAGAGAGCGAAGAATAGTATTCCAGATGAGTAAGAGTAAGAATCGCTACCTAAAGCGCAGTGGCTTTCAATAAAAATACAGAACCCTTCGATCTATGCTAATCCCTCATCTTCGGGCCATCGGCTCAAATGGCCCCAAATGATATTGATATCGTATTGGTGCTGGATTCCCCTCAACTCCGTACTCTCGCTACGAAAAAACAAATGATCCCCGTTGGGCGTTTAGTCCCAGCTATATAGACGTTAGCATAGGCTCAAAAAAACTAGATAAAGAAGGGTTCATCTCACCCAGTATCCTTCTGGCGAACAATGTTTCCTTCCGTGCCAGTCTGCTTACCCTTTTAACTGATTAGCTTCATGGCATTCACAGACAGGCTCCATGGGTACTCACGGTCTTCTGACCCTCAACAACCAACCGATCCAGCTGGTAGAACTGACTGATAATGGTTTGCCTCTGTAAGAAGTATTAGCAGCTCGTTCACTAGCGTCCACCCCCGCTTTGACTCAGAGAGCACGATCTGCATAGTAGAGACAAACGCGGGCACATCTAATCATTTCCATCCGAGAAATATACTGACCTTCATCATCCGCAAGTTCTGTAGTCCATCCTGGATCAACTCCTGTATCCGTCGGTCCTCAGATTCCTTCTGGTGCTCGCGGAAGGCATCCATCGTCCGCCGGCGGGCATACTCGCGGAAGTTGTAGTTCGAGAACTGGGAGGATTGACGGAGCAAAGAGCGGAACTGCATAAAATGACTGGTTAGCCCCAGTGCCATTGCGATGGGAGGGTAGGAGGGATTCCGCGCAATCTAGTTTCAGCAGGGAGGGCATACCAGAGACCGGACCTGGAAGGCCGTTTCACGCTGCATGGTTGGCACAGACATAATGGGCGAATTTGAGTGGAGAGATGCGAATATAAACTTTGTATAACTGGAAAGATATGACAAGCTGAAGATGATGTTGTTGATGATGATGATGCTAAAAGCGATTCCAGATACAGGGATCCTGGATTTCTAATCGGCTCGGCCGCTAACGCGGGGGTACAACTAGGCGATGCTATTCGCGTTAGCTTTTCAAGTCCCAAAGAGGAACAGCCCGAGTCGTCTTTACCGGGGACGTCCGACTCCGAGAGGCTTTTCGCAGAAGGGTTGAGATGTCCTCGGACAGCGCAAAGCAGGTGGCGTACCGGTCAAGAGTCGAGTCGCCTTAACAGTCAACTAGACCAGGGGTTCTATCCCAGCAAGAGTCGTAATAAGGTTATTCTGACAAGCAGAATATTTAAAGAGAAACAGATGCTTCCGGATGGGGATGCAAGCGGAGCGTTGAAGGGATAATCGCTGGCAGGCTCTCCGGGAAATTCTTTTGCTTTTGGGCTCGGAGGCGCAATGACGGAGTTATCGGACTCGCCGGCCGACCTCCACGGGGGATCTTCCCCTCGGCT